AGGCTGGAGTACAATGGCATGATTTCAAGTCACTGCAACCTCTGCCTCCTGGGTTCAAGTGATTCTCCTGCCTCAGCCTCCCAAGTAGCTGGGATTATAGGCATTCATCACCACGCCTGGCTAATTTCTGTATTTTTAGTAGAGACAGGGTTTCACTATGTTGGCTTGGCTGGTCTCAAACTCCTGGCCTCAGGTGATTCTCCCACCTTGGCCTCCCAAAGTGCTGGGATTATAGGCATAAGCCACTGTGCCCAGCCTCCGAAAACTCTTAACCCAGTCCAACATTAAGTCCCAAGTCTTATGTAAATATCATCTGAATCAAGTGTGAATGAGACTGGAGGTATGATTCATCACAATGTAAAAATTCTCTAGCTGTGAACCCGTGAAACCAGATAAATTATCTGCTTCCAAAATTCAGTGGTAGGACAAGCATAAGCTAGATAGATATTTCCATTCCAAAAAGGAGAAATCAGAAAGAAGAAAGGGATCACAGGCCAGGCATGGTGTCTCATACATGTAATCCCAGCATTTTGGGAGGCTGAGATGGGAGGGTCACTTGAACCCAGGAATTTGAGACCACCCAGGGCAACATGGTGAAACCCTCTCTCTACAAAAAATTAAACACTTAGCCAGGTATGGTGTTATACACCTATAGTCCCAGCTCCTCAGGAGGCCGAGGTGGGAGGATTGATTAAGCCCAGGAGGCTGAGGCTGCAGTGAGCCCTGATCACACCACTATACCCCAGCCTGGGCAACAGAGTGAGACCCTGTCTCAGAAATAAAAATTATATTATCCTGAGGATCATATGCTTCATTTAAACATTTGAAAAAAAAAAAAAAAAAAAAAAAGGACCACAGGTCCCAAATAAGTTTGAAACTGAATAAGACAAATTCTATTAGATTTTTGAGGCTTGAGAATAATCCTATTTGGCTCTGTGCTCTGTCCTCTGGGCCCACAAGATTGGGGGCCCCACTTTCCTGGCTCACTGGAGAGGTGGCATTGCTCCCCGAGCTCTGGGTGGCAGCCTGGCCCACTGCAACAGAGGAGGTCTCTCTGCCCTCTGGAACTGAGGAGGAGGCAGCCTCACCTTTGGGATTATTCTTCCTTTTTTTTGAAGGGTAATGCATGCTCACAGCCAGAAAGCTCTGTTGTCTTGTCCTGTTGAATCCCAGAAGTCCTGCAGTCTTCTTTCATTTTGTCCCATCTCTGTCCTCTTTAGTCCCAGCTGGCCGTGTTTCTGCTAGTATTACCCATCTCTATTTCTGGCTTCTGCTGAAATGACTGATTAGGTCAGTGAGTCACACCCATGATCTCTTTGTGGCATGATTGTTTAGCCACACCCTTTGTCTTCTCACCAGAGCACATTCTCAGCTTTTGCAGTATTGGATAGGCTGAGAATTTTTTTTTATCTTCACATTCAAGCTCCTTTCTGCCTGACAATTTCTTTTTCAATTTCTCTCTCTCTTCTTGCATTCTAATAGAAGCAGCAAAGAGAAATGAGGCCACATAACACACTGCTTAGAAATCTCCTTAGCTAAATCTCCCAAGTTCATGTCTCACAACTTCTACCTTCCACAAAACACTAGAACACAATTAACCAAGTTCTTTGCCTTTCCTCCAGTTTCCAAGAACATATTCCTCATTTCCACCTGAGGCCTCACTAGGAGCACCCTCAACATCTATATTTCTACCAGTAGTTTTCGAGATAATTGTCTTAGTCCGTTTGGACTGCTCTGACAAAATACCATAAACTGGGTAGCTTATGGACAACTGAAATTGATTTCTCACGGTTCTGGGGTCTGTGAAGTCCAAAATCAAGGTGCTGGCAAATTTAGTGTCTAATGAGGGCCTGCTTCCTCACAGGTGGCTCCTTCTCTCTGTACCCTCACATGGTGGGAGAGTAGAACTCTGGTCCCTTCATCACTTATAAGGGAATGACCTAATCACCTCCCAAAGGCCCCACCTCCTAATATCATTACACTGGGGATTAGGTTTCAACATAGGGATTGGAGGTGGCAGGAGGAGTTAAGACCATAGCAGCAACATATATTTTTTGGTTTTGTTTTTGTTGTTTGTTTTTTTTTTT